GAAGGAAGGAAGGAAAGAAGGAAGGAGGGAGGGAGGGAGGGAAGGAAGGAGGGAGAGAGGGAAGGAGGGAAGGAGGGAAGGAAGGATTTTTGTGTGTTTTTTAAAAAAGGGGTCTTGCTATGTTGCACAGTCTGGTCTTGAATTCTGGGCCTCAAGCAATCCTCCCACCTAGGCCTCCCAAAGTGCTGGGATTCAAGGTGTGAGTCACCATGGCCAACCTGTTTTCTTAATTAAATGAAAGGGTTAGATTAGAATCTTTCTAAAGCTGATTTCCTATGGCTTGATTCTGTTAAATGAATTTTTAAAAATACATGGGATATTTTAATCTATTTATTCAACAAATAAGCATGGAGTATGTCGAATAAAACATAACCCTTGCCCTCAAACAATAGCAAAAAGATCTTGGGATCTTAGGTCAACAAATAAATGTAGTATTTTTTTTTTTTTTAAGATAAGGTCTTGCTCTTGTGCCGGCTGGAGTACAGTGGTACAATCACAACTCACTGCAGCCCCAACCTCCTGGGCTGAAGCGAGTCTCATGCCTCAGCCTCCCAAATAGCTGGTACTATAGGTGTGTATCCCCACACCTGGCTAATCTTTGCATTTTTTGTAGAGACGTGGTTTCGCCATGTTGTCCAAGTTGGTCTCAAACTCCTGAGCTGAAATGATCTGCCTGCCTCAGCCTCCTAAAGTCCTGGGATTACAGACATGAGCCACCACACCCAGCCAACTGTAGTGTTAGTCAAGGAGGTCTTACGTACATCAAGCTGCAGAAGAGCAATGGGGAGCTAGTTATGAAGTGTACTTTGGGAACCCTTGCCTTCCCTTGCCCTACCTGCCCTTGCCCTACCTGCCCTTGCCCTGCCTGCCCTTGCCCTGCCTGCCCTTTCCCTGCCTGCCCGTGTCCTGCCTGTCTTTGCTCTCCCTTCCCTTCCTTTTCCCTCCCCTCCTCTCCCCTCCCACTCCCTTCCCTTCCATTAGTCTTCAAGAATGAATAGTTTTCCTTCCTAGTCCTGACCTTGGTCTATATCTCCTCAGCATCTAGAACAAGGTCTGGTACACAGCAGGCACTCAACCATTGATTATAAAACTAAGCCATATCTGTTAAGGGACTATGTCAAAAAAAACAACCTTACTTAGGATCTGAGGTTGACAAATGCAAAAAGGACCACAATTCTTTGCCCTTCACAATCCACACCCTTGGAAATGTTACTTTGCAGCTCCTCCCATAAAAAAAATGAAGGCTAGGCTGGGTGTGGTGGCTCACATCTATAATCCCAGCACTTTGGAAGGACAAGCAGAAGGACTGCTTGAGCTCAGGAGCTTGAGACCAGCCTGAGCAACATAGTGAGACCCTGTCTCTATCAAAAAACACAAAAATTAGCCAGGTGTGGTGGTGTATGCCTGTAGTCCCAGCTACTCAAGAGGCTGAGGTGGGAGGATTGCTTGAGCCCAGGAGGCTGAGGGTGCAGTGAGCTGAGATTGTCCCACTGCACTTCAGCCTGGGCAACAACACAAGACCCTGTTGGAAGAAAGAAAGAAAGAAAAAAAGAAAAGAAAGAAGGAAAGAAGGAAGCCTGTTTAGCCTATTTCCTTACTGGACTGTTCTTGTAAATTCCTTTGGTCAAGAGAATGTGACTGGGTGCCAAGTCCAAGTCCAGGCTTAAGAGATCCTGTGGGCCCCAACTTGTTTTCTTGAAACCCTGCCTTTGCGGGGGATGAGAGACCTGAGGGATGCTGAATGATGAGAGACCACATGGAGCAGAATTGAGTTGTTTCAGATTCAGCCAGCTCCCAGCTGACCCACTAACTGACTGCAGATATATGAGCAAGTCCAGCTGAGAGCAGAAAACCGCCCAGCTGAGCCCAGCCCACACTGCCAATGCACAGGAAGTGAGCTAAAGAAATAGCTTGTTTGTGGCTCAAATTTGTAATCCCAGCTCCTTGGTAGGCTAAGGAGGGAGGATCACTTGACCCCAAGAGTTTGAGACCAGCCTGGGCAACACAGCAAGACCCTCATCTCTAAAAACATTTAAAAATTTAAAAATTAGCTGGGTATAGTGCTTGTAGGCCCATCTACTAAGGAGGCTGAGGCAGGAGGATCAATTGGGCCCAGGAGTTTGAGGCTGCAGTGAGTTATGAACACACTACTGCACTCCAGCCTGGGCAGCACAGTGAGATCCCATCTTAAAAAAAAAAAAAAAAGAAAAAGAAATGGCTTGTTTAAAACTACTGTGTTTGGGGATGGTTTGCTATGTAACTATAGCTAAACGATGCAGGAACAAAGGCCAGGGTTTCAATACAGAGAAGTGAATCTGTGGGGAAGGGGCTCTGAGAACTGACTATTCACTATGGAAACTGACCACAAACCCCACTTCTCAAGTCTCTCACCTGTGTGTCCAGTTAGCATGTGGATCACATGCTGCTCTTCCATGTCCCACACAGCCACGATGCCATCCTGGGTGCCAATCACCAGCAGCTTCTCCTCCGCACCCCACGCTATGGCAGTGATGCCTGCAGCCACACAGAGGCAACAGCAATGATCTCAGTTCCTGTGTCCAAATATTCAGCTATGGGGTGTTCTAATGAGCCCCCCACTTCTCAGATAAGACAACTGAGGCACAGACAGATTCAGTCCCTTGTCCAAAGCCACACAGCAGGGATTACAGATTCACAGACTCAGATGCACAGATTCGCACTCTGGGCTGTGACATTCACTCCGCTCTTAGGTAGGAAAAGGGACTGAATCACAGTGTGGTCATAAGCGTCTGTATAGTCCAGCAGTGCTCACCCAGGGGACATATTTGGCGGCTGGAGACATTCTGAGGTGCCACAACGGGGGACAAGGATGCTCAAGGACACTAATGGCATCTGGTAGGTGGAGGCCAGGGAGGCTGCTCGACACCCAACAATGCATAAGACAACTCCACCCCGGAGAAAGATTCAGCCCCAGAAGCCAACAGTGCCACAGCTGAGAAACCCTGTCTTAGTTGAAAAAACTCAGAAATGAAATTACATTGGCTGTGGCAGGGCATGGTGGCTCACGCCTGTAATCCCAACGCTTTGGGAGGCCGAGATGGGTGGATCACTCGAGGTCAGGAGTTCAAGAGCAACCTGTCCAACATGGAGAAACCCAGTCTCTGCTAAAAATACAAAAATTAGCCAGGCATGGTGAAGCACACCTGTAATCCCAGCTATTCAGGAGGCCGAGGCAGGAGAATGACTTGAACCTGGGAGGTGGAGGTTGCAGTGAGCCAAGGACACAGCACTGCACTCCAACCTGGGTGAAAGAGGGAGTCGAGAGAGAGAGAGAGAGAGAGAGAGAGAGAGAGAGAGAGAGAAGGGAGGGAGGGAGGGACGGAAGGAAATTATATGGCTGAGAATGAGGATTCTGTTTTTGACATCTCTTTGAGTTCAACCAGCATAGAAAAACAAGGGCTGAGGTCCTAAAGAAAAAGCAAATATTTGCCAGTGAATTGGGCAAACACACCCCAAGGCTCTCTGCCTGGTGGAGTTTGATTAAAACTTCACTGCAGAGAGGGGCCAAGATACATTAGAGAAAACACAGGCCTAGGCATTAAGGAACTGGACTTTCTGAATGTCCTGAAGTAAAGGAAGGAAGTCCTTTTCCTTCTCTGTACCTCTTTCCCATGTATAACATGGTTGGGGTAGTGTTGAATCAGAGCCAGTCAAGCTCTGAGAATACAGGATTTTGTTTCTACCTCATTGGGATAGAGAGCGTGGAAATAGGATTTGTTTTATTTTTCTTTCTTCTCCTCCCCGTTCCTCCCTTTCCCTTCCCTCCCCTCCCCTTCCCTTTCCTCCCCTTTCTCCTTCCCTTCCTTATTCTCTCCCCTTTTCCTTCCCTCCCCTTCCCTTCCCTCTTCCCTCTCCTTTCCCTCCCTTCTCCTCCCCCCTTCTTTTCCCTTCCTTTTTTATCCCCCCAGATAGATAGGGTCTCACCCTGTTGCCCAAGCTGGAGTACAGTGGCTGAGTCATAGCTCACTGCAGCCTCAAACTCTTGGGCTCAAGCAATCCTCCCATCTTAACCTCCTAAGTAGCTGGGACTGTAGGCACACGCCACCATACCCAGCTTTTTTTTTTGTTTGTTTACTTTTTGTAGAGACAGGGTCTCCCTATGTTGCCCAGGCTGGTCTTGAACATCTGGGTCCAAGAAATCCTCTTGCCTTGGCTTCCTAAAGTGCTGGGATTACAGGCATAAATCACTGTGCTCAGCCTCTTTTTCTTTTTTTCTTGTCATGCACTCATTGTGTGACCTTGGAAATATTAACTTATACTTTTCATTTTAAAAATGAACAAACTGAAGCCCACATGGGTAAGACCTTTTTCAACTTTAACAGGACTAGAGGATGTACAACAGGGCATAGTGGATCTGAAACACAGAACATTTACCTGCCCCAGAGATGACAAAAACATCACTCTAAGTTGTAACTTCCTATGCCTGTGCCATGACAGACATCACTAATCAATCACAGCACTATATGTGATTTGCGCCCCCATAGCCATTATGTCATCTCACCTTTAGTAATAAAACCCAAAAGCTCATAGGTTTTAGCTGAATACAGGGTCATCCACACAAAGACCATATTTACCCGGTTAATCCCCCAGGCTCACCCCTGTAATCCCAGCACTTTGGGAGGCCGAGGTGGGCAGATCACCTGAGGTGAGAAGTTCAAAACTAGCCTGGCCAACATGATGAAACCCCATCTCTACTAAAAATACAAAAATTATCCAGGTGTGTTAACACAAGCCTGTAATCCCAGCTACTCTGGAGGCTGAGGCAGGAGAGTGGTTTGAACCTGTGAGGCAGAGGTTGCAGTGAGCTGAGATCATGCCACTGCACTCCAGCCTGGGTGACAAGGGCAAAACTCCATCTCAAAAAAAAAAAAAAAAAGACTGTATTTCCCAGGTTCCCTTACAGTTGGACATATCCAAGTTCTAGCCAATGAGACAGGAGTGGAAATATTTAGTTCTGCCTCTAGGTAATGCCCTTAAAATGAGGAGGCCTGCCATGTGCTTCTCCTAGTCCCTACTGGCTGGAATGCCATCTGGATAGTAGGAGCTGGAGCAGCCATCTTGGGCCAATGAGGACATCCCTGCACTGAAAATGGCAGAGCAACCAGATTGAAGGTATATGGGTATGTGGGTCCCAGACAACCTAAGGACTCCTTTATACCTCTTCTTTTGCTTGAACTATTTCATAAGACAGAATTAAACTCCTATTTTATTTAAGCCACTGCTATTTTGTCTTTTTTTTTAATGATATCTGAACCTATATCCTAATAAATACATACACTTTCTGACTAAGCTAGCTTCAGTCTCAGAATCCTTCTCAACACAGCATTCTGGTGGCTGCCCCTAAATTGACTCCTCCATGCATTGTACTTAGTGTCTCTTAGCATTTCTATTTTGAAGATAATGTGCCTGGGGAGTGTGGCTTTCACTACCAGGTCATGTGGCACAGTGAGAGCTCTGACATTTGAACCACAAGTGAATTCAGGGTCTCACAATCGTGAGAGATTGTGGGTAAGCAGATAAATAGATGGGTGAATGAAAGCGGGTGAGTTGGTAGACAGGCAGCTAGTTGGATGAGTGGATGGGTGAATGGATGGGGCAGATAGATGGGTAGATGGAGGAATCAATTTCTAGATGAAATTGAAGTGAGCAAGTTGATGAATGGCAGAGTGTGTGGATGGGTGGAGGGTTAAGAGTGTGAATGGAAGATGATCGGATAAAAAAATAGAAGGGTAAGTGGATTGGGGTGGATGGATGGATATATGGGTAGAAGGCTGAATAACTAATAGAAGTGTGGATGACTGATGGGTAGATAGATGAGAGGAAGGAAGGAAGAAAGAAAGGGTTGAAGGATAAATGAATGGATGGATGGACGAATGGATGGGTGAGTGGATGAATGGAAGGAAAGGTGGGTAGGTGGATGGATGGATAAAAGGATGGGAAGGTAGTTTGATAAATGGATAGATTACTGAAAGAGTAGGTAAGTGATTGGGTGAATGGATGAATAATAGATGGATGGATGAATGGGGGTAGGTAAATGAAATGGTGGCAGGGTAGATGGAGAGATGGACAGGTGGGTGGATAGGTAGGTGGATGGAACAGTGGGACAGTCAATGGATAAAAGGGTGGGAGGGTAGATGGATTAACAGATGGGGGATAGGCGGATGGAAGTGTGGCAGGTAGATGGATGGGTGGGAAGGTGGATAGATGAATGGGTGGGTGGGTAGATGGATGGATGGATGGGTAGGAAGGTGGTTTGATAAATGAATGGATGGATAAATAGAAGGGTAGGTAAATGATTGGATGAATGGACACATGATGTATGAATGGGTGGGTGGATGGGCGAATGGATGGTTGGATGGGTGGAAGCATGGGAGAGTAGATGGATGGAAGAGTGGGAGGGTGGGTGGATGGATGGATGGGCGGGCAGTAGATGGATGGAAGGGTGGCAGAGAAGATGAATGGATGGGTGGGAGGGCTGGGAGGGCAGTGGATGTATGAATAGATGATGGAAGGGTGGGAGTGTAGATGGATGGATGAATGGATGGGAGGGTAATTGGATGGAAGAGTAGGAAAGTGAATGAATGGGTGGATGTACAGATGGATGGATGAATAGAGGGGTGGGGGGGAGGGTGCCCGATGGATGGACGGATGGATAGATGAATGGAAGAATGGGAGATGGATGGATGAATGGAAGGAAGAAAAAAATGAATGACAAATGGAAGGCAAAACTTAAATCCTCATCTCTCCCTTACATTCTGGGATCCCAAGGGCTGAGTACAGTTCCATCAGCCTCCCAGGGGCCTGTCAGGCATGAGTTCCTAGCTTCCAGACTTACTAGCATGAGCTTGTAAATAGCTCAAACTGTGAGATGGGCACAAGTCCCTTGGAGATGGGAAGCTTGGAGGTATCCCCTAGCTTCGGGCTCATTAGCAGAATTTGTATGAGTCATCTACAGTCCCTGGGGGGCAGAGAGAGGCAATTGAGCATGAGATAGCAGGGGCAGGCTCCAATGGCACCCTCAGGGCCTCCCGACTAGCGCAGGGGAGTTTCAGAGGACAGTCTCAAACACTGGCATTCACTGCCCCCACGCAAGCAGGTGCCTGCTGGGATTTTTGCTATGCTGGGGACACTCACCTTTGTGACAACCGCTGAGGGTTGCCCGGAGGGGTCCTCCCGGGGGCTGGAGGAATCCTCCGAGGGGCACCAGCACAGGGTGTGGACACAGCCGGAACCAGCTCTGGGCCTGTTGGCATAGCTGTCCCACCAGTGCGGGATGTGAGGTGGCGAAGAAATGGAGTCTGGCCAGCATTTCTGTGTACAGGAGGCTCCTCTCTGCAACAAAAGGATGTGGATTAAGTTGCCTAGATTCAGCCCCCTGTACCTTTCCTGCAAATTGAGTCTCCACTCCCTGCAGGAGCTGTGGGATGAAAGAGAAGACACAAAACCTCAGCTACAGCCTCTGTTGGCCTCTTCCGCCTCCTTCTCTGCTCTCCAGACTCACTCACCTTTACTTCAAATGTACGCAGCTGTTTCTAGCCTCCAGCCTTTGCCCAACTTGCCTAGAACGCTCCCCTTTCCTTCCTCTCTCCTTCCTTCCCTCCCTCCCTCCCTTCCTGTCTTCCTTCCTCTTTTTTCTGAGGTAGTATCACACTCTGTTGTCCTGGCTGGAGTGCAGTGGCACGCGATCAAAGCTCACCGCAGCCTCGAACTTCTGGGCTCAGGCAATCCTCCCATCTCAGCCTCCCAAATAGTCGGAACCACTGGCATGCACCACCACGCCCAGATTTAGTTATTTACTTTATTTATTTATTTACTTTTGAGATGGAGTTTCACCCTGTCGCCCAGGCTGGAATACAATGGCGTGATATCAGCTCACTGCAACCTCCGCCTCCTAGGTTCAGGCAATTCTCCTACCTCAGCCACCCAAATAGCTCGGACTACAGTCACCCAACACCACGCCTGGCTAATTTTTGTGTTTTTAGTGAAGACGGGGTTTCACCATGTTGGCCGGGCTCTCTTGAACTCCTGGCCTCAAGTGATCCACCCACCTCGGCCTCCCAAAGTGTTGGGATTACAGGCATGAGCCACCGCGCCTGGCTATTTATTTTTTGAGAGACAGGGTCTTGCTCTGCCACCCAGGCTGTAGTGCAGTGGCATGATCACAGTTCACTGCAGCCTCAAACTCCTGGGCTCAAGCAATGTTCTGGCCACAGCCACTCAAGTAGCTGGGACTGCAGGTGCACACCACCACGACTGGCTAATTTTTTATTTTTTGTAGAGATGGGGTCTCCTTATGTTGCCCAGGCTAGTCTCAAACTCCTGGCTCAAGCCATCCTCCTTCCTCAAACCCTCAGAGTCTGGAATTATAGGTGTGAGCCACTGTGCCTAGACCCAACCTTTTCAATAAAAACAGGATCAGAGGAGGGATACATTGGAAATCTTTGTACCTGCCATTCAGTTTTGTTGTGAACCTAAAACTGTTCTTAAAAAAATATGCTATTAAGAAAAATTAGACCGTGTAGTGGCGCGGGCCTGTGATCCCAGGTACTGGGGAGGCAGAGGAAGGAGAATTGCTGGAACCCAGGAGGCGGAGCTTGCAGTGAGCCGAGATCGCGCCACTGCACTTTAGCCTGGGCGACAGAGCTAGACTAAAAAAATAAAATAAAATAAAAAAAAGACTCATGATCGCTTTGGATCATTTAATCATTTAGGTTAGTGTTGAATGGTGTCCATTTCCCAGCTTGCCTGGCTGTACAGAGAGCACATAGATGTCCAGCAGCGCCCTCTGGTGATGACATTTGTTCCTACACTTCCTCCTTGTGTCAGGGGAGCCAGAGGTTGTCAATCAAGGGGCTTTGCAGGGAACGTGCTGAGATCTGAGCTTTTAAATTTTTCTTATGGGAAGTCGTGCCCAAGGTTGTTTTCCTAAGAAGTTGCTCCATCAAGGTTTACAACTCTGGCGAATGCCTCTCACGTTACTGTTCTTTCCAGTTGCCTTAAATTCCAGTTGTTAGGTATGCTGTTCCATTTCCTTCTCTTTATTTTTTTATTTGTTTGTGTGTTTTGAGACAGAGTCTTGCTCTGTCACTCAAGTTGGAGCGCGATCTCGGCTCACGGCAACATCTGCCTCCCAGGTTCAAGCAACTCTTGTTCCTCAGCCTCTCAAGAAGCTGGGATTACAGTCATGCGCCACCACACCTGGCTAATTTTTGTATTTTTAGTAGAGATGGGGTTTCGCTATGTCGCCCAGGCTGCTCTCAAACTGGCCTCAAGTAATCTGCCTACCTTAGCTTCCCAAAGTGTCGGGATTACAGGCTTGAGCCACTGTACCTAGCCACCTATTTATCTATTTTTAATTAATTAATTTTTTATAGAGACAAGGTCTCATGTTGCCCAGGCTGGTCTTGAACTCCTGCACTCTAGCAATCCTCCTGTCTGGGCCTCCCAAAGTGCTGGGATTACAGATGTGAGCCACCACACTCGGCCTCGTGTCCCTCTCTTAAAGGCTGGGACAAACATTAACTATTTGCCTAGGGCAGTAAGGATGGAGACAAGGATCTCCCAGGAGAGCGAGTCATACGTAGCCTTGTAGCTACAGTACCGGAAAGGTCATTACCCCAAGGTAATGGAGAACCATCTAGAAGTTCCAACAAAGAGATACTTA